GGCAACTGGTTTTTTTTTTATATGATTTTTTTATTAGGATTGGGTGCTGAATGTGGCTAAAATTCTCTTTAGCTTTTGCAGATTTGATTGTATGTGTTTTCTTGATGTATTAAAGTAATGTGTTTTGTTTTGTTGACTAGGGTATTTTGAAAATGCAATTTGGGGTGTCCTGTTTTATGGGAGATGCTATGGTCCCGTTACGGAACCATTCCGTCGGGGGTTGTATCCGTATCAACTATCCTCAACAGTTACATGATGATCTAACGGTTACAAATTCCGACGGAATGGTTCCGTAACGGGACTGTAGCATTTTCCCCTGTTTATATTTATTTTTTTCTATTTTGGGTGTTTTGTGGGGTTTGTGTATCTGGATTGTTTTATGTGAGGTTTCTTATAAATTTTGTATCTTTTGTGCGGTGGTGTGCAGTATGGAATTATAGTTTGTTCAATTTTTCCATTTTTATACGTTGGGACGTGAAATTTCTTTATGATCTTTCGTTATATTGTGTGATTTTTGTTATCTTTACGGTGTTTTTGGGTATTCATTTGCTGGCAACAGGGTTTTTTTTTATATGACTATATCTTATTAGCCGCTGAATGTAGCTGAAATACTCTTGATTGTTTGCACATTTGATTGTATGTGTTTTCTTGGTGCGTTAAAGTAATGTTTATATTGACCATCATATTTCAAAAATACAATTCGAGGTGCCGTTTACTGCTTTCTTTTATTTTATTTTGGGTGTCTGTGGTGTGTTAGTGGTCAGGGTTGTATAAAAATTGTATCTTTGGTTGTGAGTTATGCTGCTTGATGAGTAGAAGGCGCTCAATCGCCCCTGGAAAGGGCTAGTTCGGACTTGTTCTTACGTCTGATCTTCTTTCATTTGGTGGTTATATTTTGTGTGTATAAGTAATCGTAATTCTCGACAGGAAAAAGTGATGGCTTCCAAGAGAATCTTGAAGGAATTGAAGGATTTGCAGAAGGACCCTCCTGCTTCCTGCAGTGCTGGTCAGTGATCTCGTTTATTTTTATTTTTTCTCACCTCCATGTTATATTTCTTATCTTACTGAGTTATTCGATTCTAATTTCACCATTTTTCATATTGAAAGCATGAATCTTTATTTTTTTCCCCTTACAATTGCAATTAATTATTGAGCAAGTCCTACTTGCAGTTGTATTTAGCTCAACCCAAGTAAATTATAGCTCACTAAAGCTTATAACTTTGTATCATTCTGTATTCATCTCTTGATTGATAAAGCTATCAGTTTAGTTTATTTTTTTAGCCAAATTCGTTCATTAAGCTCACATATTATGTGGTGTGTGAATTTATGCAGGGCCTGTTGGTGAAGATATGTTCCATTGGCAAGCTACCATTATGGGCCCTGCAGACAGCCCGTTTTCCGGGGGTTTGTTTCTTGTCACTATTCATTTTCCTCCCGATTACCCATTTAAACCACCAAAGGTAACTCATCGGTAACTTTTATATGGTCCTGTAGTAAAATTAGTAATTCTTGAATATTTATTTAACCAGGGATTTAAGTGCGATTTTCTATTCGTTAGTTACTTGTCACTTCAACTTGTGGAAACCCATGATTTTGGTGTGGCTGTGGCATTTTTTACTTCTTTTGAGGATTTAAAACGAACAAAACTTGATCACTTTTTTCGGTTAATAGTATTAAATTTTATGTCTGCTTTTGTTCTGAGCAGGTCTCTTTCAAAACTAAGGTTTACCATCCGAATATCAACAGCAATGGTAGCATTTGCTTGGATATCCTCAAAGAGCAGTGGAGCCCTGCCCTTACCATATCCAAGGTATTAACAATTATGTAGTATGCTGATTTCAGCTTTTTTTTTTTTAATTGTTGTCTCACGAACACGATTAGCAGCGCATGTTGAAAATATTAGTAATGTGTTGTAAAAACAAAATTGATAGCCAAGGAGTTCTGTATATCTCACAAAATTTGTGGTGGTGTCGGGGAAAAAAAAAATCAAAGTCAGAACTTTAATTGTTTAACTGGATAAATCTTTTTTCGAACAAATGTTCAATAATTATTTGATCGGGTACATAGATTTCTATATTGCAAATTCCATTCTCAAGAGAGGGATAATATCAGTTAGCTAGTTAATATTCTATAGCGGTGGCAATGGCTTGCTCGACACGACCATAACATAAAAAAGAAAAAAACACGATATATAAATTTTAGTTCAATTTGAGCGCATTATTCGTATGTATGCATGTAATAATATTGGTAAAGAGCCTTATTATTTAGTAAGACATGAAAATATAGCCACTTTTTGTGGAAGTATGAAGTACAGACATTTTGCACTGTCAAATGACACAATTACCTTTACTACCGGAAAACGTTTTTTCGGTTAATTGTACTATTTCACAAAATGACTATATTTCATTTGAAATCAACATTGTGGCTCTGTCTCATTTTGAAAAGTGAAAAAATGCTATAAGAAAAAAAGGTGGGATTGTTATCGGATTTATGATCAAATAAAGTAGATAGCCCGTAAACAATATTGTATAACACGAACACAATACGATATTCAACGGTAGTTTGTAATACTTGTTGATTTAATGTTATTTTTTTATGCAATGAAGGTGTTGCTTTCTATCTGCTCGTTATTGACCGACCCGAACCCAGATGATCCTCTAGTGCCCGAGATAGCTCACACATACAAAACGGATAGAGCCAAGTATGAAACAACTGCTCGTGCCTGGACTCAGAAGTATGCTATGGGCTAAGAAAGATCTCGGTTAGCTTGTCCGGGACGAATTTTCGGCACTTTATATTCTACTGGCTATAATAAAAATGAATTAGGAAAAAAAAATGAATTAATATTAAATGCTATCTGGAAATTTTCTGGCCAGTTTATTATCATGTGTCGTGGTCATTGGAAGCTTTGGACGGGTTTTTATAATTTCGTTGAACTATAAATTAATATGTTCTTTATCTTTATGTTGATGTTGATTTAGACCTGTCTATAGTTTATAATTTATTGCTGGAATTTATTGATGGTGACCTACTTAAACTATATATATATATATAATTATTGTATTGTTATCATTAATATTTACTTTGATGTTATTTGTAGTGGTGTGGTTCATATCTTACTATCTAATTCAAATTTAATCAGTATTTTATTTCATTTTATTACGTGATTATTTTTTTTATAACTTTATTTTTATGGTAAAACCAAAATATGAAAACTATCTCTTGGTTTGGTGTCTTAGGTTTTTAAACGAAACGAACTGCCCGTTAGGCTTGATAAATAGGGTTATTTATGTAATTTTCTCGAACCGAGTTGATAAGGGCTCGAGTATCGGGAGCTGAGCTCAGCTCGTTTCTAACCATAGTCGGACTATATCTTATGATTATCTATTCATTCATTTCGAATTCGCCTGCTCGTTTATAACTATAGTTTGGACTATATCTTGTGATTATTGATTCATTCATTTTGAATTTGCCTGATTAATTGTTAGAGTGTTTATTATCCAAGTATAACCACATTATGTACATTTAAATTTTAAAAGTTATTATTTATTATAAGTTGTCATTCTTCTAATTAATAGTATAAATAAATGTATAATATTTTACAATTTAAATGTATATTTTTGCTTAAAGATCATGAAATTTACAAGGCAACTAAATATTTACTTTTCACTTTAGAACTGTAAATTTGTGATGTAGTTCACTGAAGTAACTGGAGGTTTTTAATTTGGGCCTTCTGGTAAAATTGTGGGCTTATCTGTGTGGATTCGGGTAAATGGGCACAACGAAAAACCCAATGTGACCGAATGAAGACCCGACTGGTCACTACTCAGGCTACCCGACCCGAGGTGGCCTCGATAATAGGATCAAAACAAAATTCTACCTCTGCAATTATTTTGTACTCATTGCTTCATTATGTGTACTCTTTTGTACAGTATCCATTTAATGTTCTTCCAAGGAGAACCCATAAATATATCTTCAGTGCATTTATAATCTTTTTAGTTATTACTATTGTAGTACTATTTTATTTCATAATTACTTTTGGGTTCACCCAAAAAATTATCTAAAAGTATTTTAAAATTTCTCACGTGATGTTTTAAATTTCCATAAATTGCCTCCAAGACAAAACGAATTTGAGTATTCGACGATGACAAATGAATATATATATTTTTTTTTTTCGGTACAATGGCAATTAACGATGAATTTTACTCCTTTGATGGTAGAACCCCGAAATGACACAAAATGTTTTTAACTCAAATGACGATGAAAAGCCACTTTGAAATTGGATTTTGAGGTTTTAAAGTCCATAATGAGACGAACAAGATGATGTATAGCTTATTAATTTCAGATAAGTCGATTGCTCGGTAACCAATTGGTGAAATAAATTGTTGTTGAAAAGTTTAGTATCGGCGAAATAAATTGTTGCCGAAAAGCTTAGAAGACGAATTTTCTCAAGTCTTATGAGAAACCCAAACTGTCACATTTTGGTCAGTAGCACAAACAAAAGCTCGATATTTATCAATTTGTTTTGGACTTGAAAAAAAAATATTATCATTTCAATATCTAACTCAACTTTAACAACCACACTATCCTCAAACTTATTAATATAATGAAATAATATCAACCAGTCGCCCTTACACATCACATAATCTTTAGTTCACTATTCTTCCACTCACATAATTTTAACTATCTATCACTTTCAATCATTTATCTATACTTTTACATCAAATCAATTTTAATTATTTAATTTTATATACTATTTTTATACAACTTAAAATCTCATTAAAAACTAACAATACTAAATCTTTAAAATTTAAAAAA